AGTAATTTCTCTGACATCAGGCTTAGCAGCATTTTTCTGGATATATCTCCTGAGGCAAGGGAAACAAAAGCAAAAATAATCTATTGGGACTAATCCAAATAAAAGACTTCTGCACAGGAAAAGAAACAGTCAACAACACTAAAAGACAATCTACTGAATAAGAGATGTTTTCAAATGACTTATCTGATAAAGGCTTAGTATCTGAAATATATAAAGAACTTATAAAACTCAACACCCAAAAAACAAATAATCTGATTTAAAAATGGGCCAAAGACACGAACAGACATTTATTCAAAAACATCCAGATGGCCAACAGACATGAAAAGATGCTCAACATCACTCATCATCAGGGAAATGCAAGTCAAAACTACAATGGAATAACACCTCACATTGGTCAGAGTGGCTAAAATCAAAAACACAAGAAACAGCAAGTGTTAGGGAGGATGTGGAAAAAAAAAAAAAACCCTAATGTACTACTGGTGGGGATGCAAACTGGTATAGCCACTGTGGAAAACAGTATGGAGGTTAGTAAAAAATTTAAAAATACAATTATCATATGGTCCAGTAATTCCACTACTGGGTATTTACTGAAAGAATACTAAAACACTAATTCAAAAGGATATGTGCCCCCCTATGTTTATTGCAGCACTATTTACAATAGCCAAATTATGGAAGCAGCCCAAGTGTCCATTGACAGATGAATGGATAAAGAAGATGTGGTGTGTGTGTGTGTGATGAAATACTACTCAACCATAAAAAAAATGAAACCTTTCCATTTGCAACAACATGGATGGATCTAGAGAGTATAATGCTAAGTGACATAAGTCAGAGAAAGAAATACCATATGATTTCACTCATATGTGTAATTTAAGAAACAAAACAAATGAACAAAATAAAAAAGAGACAAACCAAAAACCAGATGCCTAACTATAGAGAACAAACTGATGGTTATCAGAGGGGGAATGGGTGAGACAGGTAAAGAGGATTAAGAGTACACCTATCATGATGAGCACTGAGTAATGTATAGAATTGTTGAATAACTGTATTTTATACCTGAAACTAATGTAACAGTATATGTTAACTATACTGGAGTTAAAATAAAATTTAAAAAATAATAAATGTAATATAAATAGAAGAGCAAATTAAATCTAAAGTAAGCAGAAGAAATGATACAATGAGAGGAGAAATCAATGTTAGAGAAAACAGAACAATAAAGAAAATCAACTTAACAAAAAAACTAGTTCCTTGAATATTGATTCAGTGTATAAACCTCTAGCTGAACTGATCAGAAAAGAAAGGTGACACAAATTCCCAATATCAGAAATGTGAGCATCAATATAGATTCTGATATTAAAAGGAAAATAATGAAAATGTACAACTTTTTGATAATGAATATGACAATTTTTTTAATTGAATTTGTAGTTAAAATTCCAGGTCAAGGTGACTTCACAGGTAAATTCTGCCAAATGTTTAAGGAAGAAATGATACCAATTCTACAAGAACTCTTCTAGAAAATTAAAGAGGAAGAAATACTTTCCAACTCATTTTGTGAGACCAGCATTACCCTGATTAAAAATATATGTGAGAAACCAATACTACACTGTATGTTAACTAAGTTGAATTTAAATAAATTAATTTTTTTAAGAAAAAATATAGGGGCGCCTGGGTGGCGCAGTTGGTTAAGCGTCCGACTTCAGCCAGGTCACGATCTCGCAGTCCGTGAGTTCGAGCCCCGCGTCAGGCCCTGGGCTGATGGCTCAGAGCCTGGAGCCTGCTTCCGATTCTGTGTCTCCCTCTCTCTCTGCCCCTCCCTTGTTCATGCTCTGTCTCTCTCTGTCTTAAAAATAAATAAACGTTGAAAAAAATTAAAAAAAAAAAAGAAAAAATATATATATGAAAACTACAGATTAATATCCTACTGAGCATAGATGCAAAAATTCTTAGCAAAATGTTAGAAAAATGAATCCAACAATGTATAGCAAGACAAGTACATTAGGGTCAAGTGGAGTTTATTTTAGAGATGTAAGATTGATTTAATACTCAAATCAATCATATTATTCATATTAACATCTTAAGAAAAACTATGTGATTACTTCAATACATGCAGAAAACACAGTTAACAAAATCCACCATCCATTCCTGATCTTTTTTTTTTTAATTCCCAGCAAACTAGGAATTGAAAGAAACTTCCTTAACTTAATAGGGGCGTCTGTATAGTTACCATCAAAAATAACAGTGAAAGGACAAAGTGTTCCCCTAACATCAGCAAGGATGTTTGCTCTTACTGCTTCTATTCAACATTGCACTAGAGGTTCTAGACAATGCAGTAAGGCAAGAAAAAGACGTTGAAATCATTCAGATTGGAAAGGAAGTAAAATGTCTTCATTCACAGATAACATAATTTTCTATGTAGAAAATCTATGTTATGTACCAAAAAAAAAAAAAGAAAAGCCTATGAGAATTAATAAGTTAGGCAAAGCTGCAGGATATAAGATCAATACACAAAAATCATTTGCATTACTCTATACTAGCAATGAAAAATCATGAATTTAAACTAAAAAGCAAAACTATTTGTAATTGCATTAAAAAATATTAGGTATAGGGGTACCTGGGTGGGTCAGTCAGTTAAGCGTCTGACTTCAGCTCAGGTCATGATCTCACATCCGACTCTGTGTTGATAGCTCAGAGCCTGGAGCCTGCTTCAGATTCTGTGTCTCTGTCTCTCTCTGCCCCTCCCCTACTCATGCTCTGTCTCTCTCTATCTCTCAAAAATAAATAAAACATTTAAAAAATTAAAAATATATACATTAGGTATAAATTAGGTACAGAAGATGTGACCTTGGTTTAAGCCAAGTTTTTTTTTTTTAAGATATGACACCAAAGCATGATCCATAAAAGAAAAATTGCTTGATTGGTCTTCTTCAGATGAAGACTTTCTGCTCTTCAAAACACACTATTCAGAGAAAGAAAAGACAAGCTACAGGCTTGGAGAAAGTACTTTCAAATCACATATCTGATAAAGGACTTGTATCCAGAATATATAATGAATGCTCAAAACTCAATAACAAGGAAACAACCCAATAGAAAATGGGCAAATAATCTGAATAGACATCTCTCCAGAGGAGGTAAATTGATGACAAATAAGCACATGAAAGATGCTCAGCATCTTTAGTCATTAGAGGAAAACAAATTAAAACCACAAAGAGATATAACAGAATACTTATTAGAATGGCCAAAATTAGAAAGACTGAGTATAACAAGTGGCGACAAGGATGGAACTCTCATACTCTGCTGTTGAAATGCAAAATGATACAACCACTGTGTAAAACAGGGACAGTCACTTTTTAATAGACTTATAGGAGCATCTGGGTGGCTCATTGGGTTAAGCAACTGACTTCGGCTCAAGTCATAATCTCTTGGTTTGTGAGTTTGAGCCCTGCATTGGTCTCTGTGCTGTCAGCATGGAGCCTGTTTCTGATCCTCTGACCCCCACCCTTTCTCTCTGCCTCACCCCTGCTCATTGTCTCTCAAATTAAATAAATAAACTTAAAAAAAAGTTAGAGTTACATGTACCAAATGATCCATCCATTTTACCCCTAGGAATTTACACAAGAGAAATGAAAGCATGTTCATACAAAGATTTATACACTAACTCAGAGCAGCTTTGTTTGTAATAGCCCCAAACTGGAAACATCCAAATTTCTGCCAGTAGATGAATGGATAAAAAATTGTGCTGTATCCATACGATGGAACGCTACTCAGCAATAAAGGAACAAATGTTTGATGCATGCAGCAACATGGATGAATTGCAAAATAACTATGCTGAGTCAAAGAAGCCAGACATAAAAGAATATAAGCTGTATGATTCCATTTATATAAGATACAGAAAACGCAAACTAATATATAGTGTCAAAAAGCAAAACTGTTGTTTCAAGGGGGTGGACCACAGAGAGGTGGGAGGGAGGGACTATTCAGGGACATAAAGAGACTTTTTGGTCGTGAAGGCTATGTTCCCTCTCTTGATCGTGATTAATGGTTTCACGGTTGTGGCTATATGCCAAACTTATCAAACCACCCACTATAAATACATGTAGTTTATTGTGTGTTAAAGTTATTAAAATAAGAATGAAGCCAAAAAGAAAATAAAACTTTATTGGAATCCATACTAGTAGAAGACATTACTGAAAAACTATGTTATGCAAATTAGTTACAGATACTATTGTTTAGAGTGCATCAGTGGACACTTCTTACAGCAAAGAACCCTTTTGTAAAAGTAATCTTCACTGTGGAATACATCTTTCTTGTGACTCTTAATGTGATATATTGTGTTTCCTTCATCAGGATGAATATCCAGTCTGCTGGGATAATGACACACAATTCTTTTCAAGAGATTTTCATGCGCAACAGTAGCATGATGTTCGCTCTGCTTTGTCTTAAAGTGGCAGAGGGCAATTGCAATAGCTGGCCATATCTACACTTTGGAACACATACAGTTTACCTCACTTGTTAAATTGTGTCTTGTGATCAGATACCTATTCTTCTTGGCATCTTAGCCAAATATCAACCTAAGAGCTTACATGTACTTCATCAAGAGAGCATTGCAGATACTTTAAAATGATTCATTTCCCCTTAACACAAAGCTCAATTAATACTTGAATTGGGACTATGCATATGTGGAAGTTCCTCTCCGGTTGGCTAACAAAATCAAAACTACCAAGTTTTAGAGTGCGTATGTGTTTTAAATGTTTGGGGTGTTTTAAGAGACTTGGCTTTGTTTTCCGTAAAGTAAAAGGATCCAGTAAGTGGAAAGTATAAAAGTCAGCTGTTGAATGTGACTTTCCAGATGTTTTGTGAGCTCATTATGCTGATCATGAATATGCTAATGGACAGTTCTCCCTTTTGCCTAGCTCATGGCAGTGAGACACAGGAACCATGATGTTCTTCTCACCTTCTGTATCCGACTCAGGTAGCTATGCTGACCCAGCCTTTCTTTCTTTCAGGGTGTGAACGGCATGTCTGTGGATGAGAAGCCTGACTCCCCCATGTATGTGTATGAGTCCACAGTCCACTGCACCAACATCCTCCTGGGCCTCAATGACCAACGGAAAAAGGATATTCTCTGTGACGTGACTCTGATCGTGGAAAGGAAGGAGTTCCGGGCCCACCGGGCTGTGCTGGCCGCATGCAGTGAATACTTCTGGCAGGCGCTGGTTGGACAGACGAAAAATGACTTGGTGGTCAGCTTGCCTGAGGAGGTATAGTAGTTTGCTTTGTTTGTGTGGCTGCTCGTGGAGGCTTACTAACTTGTAGACAGTTGTCTAAGTAGGTGCTAGAAGGTGGACCCTGGCCCACATTCCTGCCCAAGGGCTTGATGTCCAAGTCACCAACACTGTTAGGTTTGTGGCATAGCCAGTTTCTATGTGATGCATTTAAAATCTCAGAGGCATGAATCAGAGCAGAGTGTCTTTCTTGAAGGGAACTGAATGTCACAGTCATTCATAGTTTCTAGTTCACTTACTCTTCAGGTTTTGAGTAGTATAGCCAAAGTTTGTTACAGTCCTGGATGTGCGATCTGAGTCACTGGGACTCGTGGCTATGATTTTTCTCTTTCAGATGGTTGAAGGAGCACTTGATTTCCCTTGAGAGTAAAAGAATGAAAGTATTCACAGCGCATTCCTTGCTTGGGGGAAAAGTTAAAGGAGTCAGTAATTTTCACAGTTAATATGGTAGGATTCTAAGAAGTGTAAACTTGCTTTTCTCACCATTGTTGAAAATACCCTACTCATGTTTCTTAATTACTTCAGTGAGCACAGTTATGTCTGTACTTTAGGGACACTAGTATCTGGACTCATTCTGTTGAGAGTTGACATTCAGCTGGACAGCCTAAGCTGGACGAACTCAAAAGATGGGCTTCATAATGACAGAATATTAAATTGGTCACCCTTCGAACTGTGGATACAATTCCTCTATTTCTGTAGTCTTTTTTTTAATTTTTTTTTGTAGGAGTAATTTGGACATAGTCCAACTGATTCCCCCTGTTGGTTTTTTGTTTTTTTTTTTTGATGTTTATTTGTTTTTGAGAGAGAGGGAGAGAGAGCACACGCACACATGCACAAGTGGAGGAGGGGCAGAGAGAGAGAAAGAGACAGAGAATCCAAAGCAGGCTCCATGCTGTCAGTGCACAGCATGACGTGGGGCTTGAACCCACAAACAATGAGATCATGACCTGAGCCGAAGTTGGTCACTCAACCAACTGAGCCACCCAAGGACCCCACTGCCTCCATCATCGTACCTCCCCTTCATTTACATGGGACGAAGGGTAACACTGAGCAGCCTTACACTTTGTGTTCAGGTCCAGAATCTTTCCTTGTGCATCTGCACAGTGTGTAACACTAGGGCCAGGCTGTGCACTGCACAATTTCCCAAGGTACAACTCAAATCCACAGCGTATGCGAACAGAGCTCCAGGGTTGCGCAGTGACCCACAGCAACTCATCAGCTTTTCACAGCAACTCTGAAAGAAGCCAGAGACCCTATGACCCTGCTGTGAGGTGCTAATGAGTAAAACTAGCATTAAATCCCAGGGCTCACAAATCCAAATGCCTCCAGAGGCCTGGAAAATAATATAAATAAATAAAAGCAGGTTGTGTATAAGACACTAGGAAGCAGTGGAGCAAGCACCTGCTCCACAGAAAGGCATCCAAATTCAACATAAGAAACAAATATGCAAACAAGTCATGGGGGCTTGGAGGGGAGGGTGGTCACCAGATCCAGTCCCTTGTGAAACATCTGCTGTTAACCCTGCAGAGCAGGAGAGCGGCCAGCTGATAGCAAGGATTGCATAAGCGCTCAACATTTTCACATTAGTATTCTTTTTTATGTACCCACATGAAAGGCTCCAGTATCACTCTTCACACCCCTAAGAAATCTTAAGTAGAAAGATCCCAATACTAGAAGCAAAAGGACAAATTGGTAATTGGGACTGGTGTAGGGAGGGAAGTTTATGTACCAAGTAATGGAGGAAGGCCAAGGAATGGTGTGATCCTGAGCTGGGGTTTCCTCATCCAGGTCAATTGGGTGAACACTTAACCTGTCATTAGGTGAGACGATAAACATAAAATTTCTCAGCATGGTCTCTATCCCATAGTAGGCATTCATCAAATGTAAGACTCTTTTTTTTCTAGATGGGCACCAAGAATGCCTTGCAATTTATTCCAACTCTGGACTTCCCTGCAAATATTTGGGAAACTTCCAGTTATCCAGAATGGTCTTGTGGAGAAGGTGTGGCTTATAGTTTATTTATTATCTGTATCTTTTTGAGAGCTACTTCATTTATGTTTTTTTACTGATTTTCAAAAAAAGGTTATATTAAAGGGGCGCCTGGGTGGCTCAGTCAGTTGAGTGTCCGACTTCGGCTCAGGTCATGATCTCACGGTCCGTGAGTTTGAGCCCCACGTCGGGCTCTGTGCTAACAGCTCAGAGCCTGGAGCCTGCTTCAGATTCTGTGTCTCCCTCTCTCTCTGACCCTCCCCCGTTCATGCTCTGTCTCTCCCTGTCTCAAAAATAAATAAACGTTAAAAAAAATTTTTTAAAGAAAAAGGTTATATTAAAATATATTTATAAATGAAAATCATATTTTATGTAATTTAGTCTCTCTTCGTTGACAGCCCCATCTCGAGACTTCCTTGACTGTGTGCCCAAAAGCCCTGGCCTGCCCCTGGTTAGCTGTGGGATCCTGATCCAGTCACTTAACCTCTCTGAGCTCCGGTTTCTACCTATAAAAACTCCTCACACTCTGAAATCCTTGAGTTATTTATCATATTACAATAACAAGACAGTAAAATTTAAAGGAAATCAGGATATAAATGCATATGGCATAACTAAGTTTCTTTAGATCAAATCCCTGATAATCACTTATTTCCTTGGTATTAGGGACTCTTTAAAGCAAGAGGTACATTATATAGACATCACACAAAAATCTGCTGTTTGGCCTTTTTGATTGTTTGTATTCCAGCTAAGTGGGAATTTGCTATGTGTTGATTTTCTTTCTTCTTAGTCATGAAAATGATCACTGTTTCTACATTATCTGCATTTCCAAACCATTAAAACCTTCTGGTTGCTCATGTACCTGAAACCTTCAGATATAACTAGATTTTTTTTTTCCTTCCTATGAAACATGGATTCATATTGTCAGTAACCCAGCTTTGAGTATCTTGCTGATAGGGCAGGCAAGCCAGCCACAGTTGGCATTTTCCTTTGTGGGTCTATAATTGTTCCTAACGCCTCCTTCCAAAAGAGCCCGCTCCCTCTGCTCAGAGCACCCTCCTGTGGCCCCAAGTGCTAAGCATTGTTTTTCTTCCCTATGTGCACACTGAAATGTCCTTGCAGGCTCTATAGTCATTGTCCGCTTGGTTCCGTGAATGACTTTAGAATTTGAATTAAGTAGCGAATAAGCAAACATCCCAAACATTACCTTGGAAAGTAGTTGCTTGGAACTAATTGGCATTTGGTTCATATAACGTAAGAAAAAACATTTGAGGGGCACCTGGGTGGCTCAGTTAAACATCCAACTTCGTCTCAAGTCATGATCTCATGGTTCGTGGGTTCGTGCCCCACATCAGGCTCTGTGCTGACAGCTCAGAGCGTGGAGCCTGCTTCAGATTCTGCGGCTCTTTCTCTCTCTGCCCCTCCTGCTCATGCTCTGTCTCTTTCTGTCAAAAGTAAATAAACATTAAAAAAATTTTTTTTCGTTAGCTCCTTGGAAATTTTTAAACCTCATCATAATCCTGTCCCCAAGTTCAAATCAACTTCTGGTCTGTCCCAGCCTTGTTCACACTTGGCCCACCTTACACTTCCTGACCAGCCAGCCTCTGTGCTTCTCAGGGACCCCTCATGGCCGTGCCTGAAAGCTCTTTTTTGGACTACAAAACTTCCAGATACATACTGCTGCCCCTCCCTCTCCTCTACATGGTCAGTCTAGGTCAAAGCCAGCTCTGGTCTCTGGTTGTCCAGTTGTGCAGTTCTACCCCAAAAACGTGACTCCTGATGGGCAATGTGATTACCAGCAAATTAGAGCCACTCACACTGCCCAGGATAGCCTCTAAAATAAAAGGGTGAGAAACAAAAATAGAGGTCTCCTTCTGGAAGTCAACAAGTAATTGAAATGTCTTGCTCTTCTCTTTTTCTTTTCTTTTTTTTTTTTCTAAAAATGGAATGACAGATAGTCCCTAGAGTTTACATGACTTGAGTGTTGGCTCCCTTTTGAAAAACACGCCCAGGAATGTGTATCAGCAAATAGTAGAACATAAGGCATTGTACTTAGTACTTTAGTTAAATAATAAAACAGATCATTTAATTTATAATTAGTAAGTGTATTTTGTGCTTACAGATGAAGAGAAAGTGGTCGATGTGCCAAGCATTGCAAGGCCATTACTCCACTGCTCATTAGTATTAAAGCTGGCTCAACAAACACCTCCTTAGCTGTAGTCCTGGAGACCATTTTGGGCTGGATGCCAACCATGCTGGATGGCATCACAGTCATGAAGTTCAGTCTTATGGCATGTCAAGTACAGAGGGCAGGGATGGGGTGTGCTTCCTGTGAAGACATGGAGCCCACTGTGGGTTTGCATATCAACCCTGCCCTTATGGGGCTGCTTGGCTCCCTCCCAGAATGCCAGAGGAAGAGCGGCTGTTAAGAGGTTATTGCCAAGGTCTATTATCAAAAAGTCAAAAGGTAACAAGTATGGGTGAGGATGTGGAGAAAAGAGAACCCTTTTGCACTGCTGGTGGAAATGTAAATTGGTGCAGCCACTGTGGAAGATAGGATGGAGGTTCCTCAAAACACTAAAAATAGAACTACAATGTGATCCAGCAATCCCACTTTTGGATATATATCTTAAAGAAATATAATCACTATCTCGAGGAGATATCTGCACTCCCATGTTCACTGCAGCATTATTCACAACAGTCAAGATGTGAAAACAACTTGTCTATTGACAGATGACTGGATAAAGAGAAGGTGGTATGCATGTGTCTTATTCAGCCTCAAAAAGGAAAGAAATCCTGCTGTTTGCCGCAACATGAGTAAACCTGGAGGACATTATGCTAAGTGAAAGCCAGACATAGAAAGACAAATATTGCAGGATCTCACTATATGTGGCATCTAAAAAAAAAAAAAAAAAAAGTCAAAGGATAGTAACAGAGAGTAAATGGTGGTTATCAGAAGCTTGGGGAGGTGGGAGGGAAAAAGTGGAAAT